ATGACCCTGAAGTTCCTGTATCCGCCTTTCATCTTTCTATTTAGCACTTTGTCCAAAGTTATCACTATCTGCTGGAAATCTCACTGTACCTATCTAATGCCTCCCATGGAACTTTTTCCACATAGCTTCTAAATCATTCTCATTCAGCAATTAAACAGTTTCCCTATTAAATAAATAAACTATAAAGAGCATTTCTGTTGTCTTTCTTTTGCTTTCTTTCTAAAGGTACACAAGAGACAGTGGGAGACTTTCCAAGAATCTGTTTACAGATACCTTCCATATGTACGTCCTTCCCTTTCAAAATAAGCCCTTCTCCTCTTTACCTTCCAGCTCCCCCCGCCACAAAAAAAGTACAAATCTCACCTCCATTCAGAATTTATGATACACAGCCTCAAGGAATAATAAACTCTAGGGACCCAAACAAACAGATAAGCCAAAAAAACGGTTTCAGGGAAGCATTCAAGAATAACTGAGGTGCCATAAACTATCCATTACTGGGCTTCTTGTCTTTTCCAGTCACATATTTTTCAAAGAGTTTAAAATATTTTGGCCCCTGCTGGAACATTCTAACATATCATAATCTGTGAGCAGTTGTTTAAAGTTTCCTTTAACAACCATTCCCCCGACAGTCCCACCTCCACTCAGTATTGTCCAAGAACACATTGCTATTAGGGAGGGAGTACGATAAAAGCAAAGCAAAGAGAACACTGGTTAAAAAAAAATAGATAAAAAGAAATATTTTTTCAAGAATTCTTATTTTTTATGAGCGACAAGGTCTTGATGTGTCACCCAGGCTGGAGTACCGTGGTGCGACCTTGGCTCACTGCAATTTCCACCTCCCAGACTCATGTGATTCTCAGCCTCTCAAGTAGCTGGGATCACAGGCATGTACCAACACACCTGGCTAATTTTTTTTTGTATTTTTTAGTAGAGATGGGGTTTTACCATGTTGGCCAGGCTGGTCTCAAACTCCTGGCCTCAAGTGATCCACCTGCCTCAGCCTCCCAAAGTGCTGACAATACAGGTGTGAGCCACTGTGCTGAGCCGAGAGTTTAAATATAAGTAATTCTCAAAACTCATTCCTTGAATATTTATTAGCTGGAAGAAAAAGCATATTTAGAGAGCTGGAACAATATCAATTAGGGAGGCTGATTCCTTTAAATACAACAGAAATACTTTCTGGGACTGCCAAGTCATTCAAATTGTGCTATATAAAAGTCACAGATAAAAACTATATAGAAATTACTTTAGATTGAGTGTGCATTACTCAATACGGTAGTTAAAATCTATGTTGTCAGATCATATCATTAAAGTTTTATTCTAATTAGTCAATTCTATAGTTTTTCAACAGTTTAATATTTCTACCTCCTACTGACAAAAAGATATGCTGTCAAACTGAGTAGTTTTAAGCAGTAGGTATCTCTTTCATTAATTACCCAAATAAAAATGTAAAGTTATTTCTGATTCATTCCCTTTTATTTATACCTAATAGCTGAAATCAGAGATCAGAAGATGCAGGAACACACATTTAAAAGGGAGTAACAGGCCAGGTCTAGTGGCTCACGCCTGTAATCCCAGCACTTTAGGAGGCTGAGACAGGCGGATCACTTGAGGGATCCCCTGAGCCCAGGAGTTGAAGACCAACCTGGACAACACTGTGAGACCCTGTCTCTACAAAAAAACAAATACAAAAACTAGCCAGGCATGGTGGCATGTGCCTGTAGTCCCAGTTACTTGGGAGGTTAAAGTGGGAGGATCACTTGAGGCTAGCAGATCGAGGCTGCAGTGAGCCAGGATGGTGCCAATGCACTCTAGCCTAGGTGACAGAGTAAGACCCTGTCTCAAAAATAAATAAATAAATAACACAACTTTTCTCATATCCCTTGCTTCATATTTTAATTTTTAATCTAATGTGACAAGCAGCACAGAAATGTTTAATTATAAAAATTGACAAATTACTGTAATTCTTTTTGAGCCACATAATTTTCATCTCAAATACCTTAGTAGTATCTTTCAGTATACATTCTATAATTTATTCCTCAGTGGTTTTCATAGTATCCAAAATATCTGGTAATCTGTTTATTTGAAATTTAAAACAGAGGAAAATTTTATGATTCAAAGCAAGTTTGTTATGGTTAGTTGGTTTGACAATGGAGACTGGCTTTGTTAACAAGGAGATATTTTCTAAAAACTGAACAAGCTAAACCTTCATCCTAAAGGTTTTCACAAAAATACATTTTAAAGACATAATTGTAATAAAAAAATTAGCAAAGCTATATTAAAATTAATAGTATTTCTATTTTCTCAACTGCTTCTGAATATATCAGATTTTTAAAGAAAGTACCTATGAAGAGAGGGAGAGGAACTGATACAAGACATTTGGTAAGCCTTGTGAAAGCCTTTTTGATATGCTTCCTAGAAGCTAAGAAAATAAATGGTTAAGCACTAGGTAACAAATCCTTTGGCAAGTTGGGTAGTTTCCATTCTTTTGCTTTCAATAAAACTGAAGAACCTAACAGAAGTATTAACTGACGGATGCTTGATGATAAAATCACTAGTGATTTTTGACATATAACTTGGAAGATTTTGATACCACAAAATTTCCATTAGAATTAACTTATATATTTGAACATTTATGTCTAAGCACTTAAAATCTACAAAATCTCAAAACAGGAAGAGATTTGCCAAACACAAGAACTAATGGAGGAAGAGAGGAGACAGCTGCATTCATTTCATTCAAGAATAAATTTCTGATACAAAGTGAATTTAATCAAAATTTTAATCTATGTATGTTATTCTAATCAACTGTGCACCAATAATAATTGGAAAAGTAATTCAAACCGTAAGTTATTTTTAACACTTTGAGCTTTATGGTCATAGGAAAAACATTTTAAATTTCAATTTATTTACATATTATTGGGGCAGAAAAGTTTGATAGATGATCAATAAATGATTTTAAAGATAAAAATACATAACATTTGGATAAAATTCAAAGGGATAACAGATGGGACATAAATATTCAAAGAAAAAATAATTAAAATTCCCAATCACTAAGGGAGTTTGTTTTTATACTTTTAAATAATGACATTTAGATTCTATTAGATAAATTTAAAAGTGATGCATTTTATTGAAATACTACAGTATGCCAGAAATTCCATATTTCTGGTCATCATTTAAATTTTTGCTTGAATAGTGCCACTATTTAAACTTCGCTAATATAGCGTAGTTATCATCTCAAATATGTACAAAGGGGTACACAGTTTTTCAAATTGTAGGGAACACGTGCAAAAATTCTGAAGTTCACTTTCTAAGAGAGACGAAGTTATAAGTAAGCCACATAGGGAAGTGAAGACCATATTAACAGAGTAACAAAAACATGACACTTAAATGTCAGTCTCCCTCAACAGAGTGACAGCCCTGAGGGTGTGCATTCTTTTCTGGGTATTCCCACCATTAGTGCCCTAAATAGCAAATAGATTTTCATAACTGCTTACCATGTGGGGGAATAAATGGATGAAATGAATGAATGGTGAATACTTAAGTGTCAAAATATATTATTTAATAATGGGGAGTTATAAACTAACATATTTATACTATAACTCAAATACAAGCCACAGAATTTAGACTCAGCTAGACACCAAGTCTATTAAATTACAAAAGAAAAGCCTTAGCACAGTTAAAAATCTGATATATATTTTAACCAACAGATGGATGAAATTAAAATAACAAATATAGTACTGTCTGACTTTTTCAAGAGATGCAACTAGTAACTAATTGTGACTAAGAGTTTGGCAGAAGAAGGGAGTAAATTTGAAATTACATCTTAGCTAAAAATGAAATCCCGCTTTAATAAATTTAGTTAAGATTCAAAGTTTTGGTCTGGCCAGGTGCGACGGCTCAAGCCTGTAATCCCAGCACTTTGGGAGGCCGAGACGGGTGGATCACAAGGTCAGGAGATCGAGACCATCCTGGCTAACACAGTGAAACCCCGTCTC